TATTTGGAACTAAATTAAGTAGTTTGACACAGTTTCTAATCTGAGTAATGACATAAGGATTAGAATGTTCTGGAATGTTCTTATACAAATTGGTCACAGCTGAATGACTTCCGGATCTAGATTGTTCTAGAACTAGACTTAGACAATTTTTCATAACACACATACAGTATCATGATAATAGGTTCTTTTTCTTCCTAAATGTAATGGTTAGCCAAAATCACACTATTTTCTTTGTCTTTTTTAACTGTTTGATTAAAGTACCATACATCATTGTGTACAAGTTATTGTCATATATTATTTGACCTCTAAATTGCAAGAGGAAAAAGTTGCAAAACTTCTAGGAGTGGTTAAGTATGTCTTGTATAAGATGGAGGTACATGTATGTATAATTCACACTAACAATAGACAGATACAAAATTGCCAATATCTGAGGATGTAATGGCATTTTGTGGCACATGGCACTGTCGGGAGTGAGAGGGTTACCTTTTTGAACATGTCCTTGTTGAAAAATTCTACCCTGATATCACCACAAATTGGAATTGGTTGGCTTGGCTCAAATGCTAACCCTTTATTAGATTTCTTTCCCTGAAAATAAAAGAAAGAAAACCTTACACTTCTACATGAATGTTAAATAACAGGCAAAGAAGTAATTAGTCAAGAAAGGTTTATCAAGACACTCTATCACAATATACACATTGTGTGGTTCCAGAAAATATCCATGCCCNTACATGTAGCAACATTCATGGTGACTTTCTTTATTCCCATTACTTGTATTCTTTAAAGTGCACAGTGAATTGGTACATAACTTATCAGGAGAAACTAGAGGCTTATCAATTTGTGGGCCCTACCTCATCAACTTTGGATTGGTACAACTTAACTTTCTGCTGCCAAATAATGTAATATGGATCTGAAAGCAAAACAGTGCGTTACCAGTGAATAAACAATGGAAAAGATTAAGTCTGTATATGAGCCAAGCAGCCCATCAGGAAGGCATTTATCTCCAGTTTCAATAGCATGAAGCGATTAGGAGAATTTCTAATTCCCCCTGGTTGGGATGCTAGTCCATTGCAGGGTTACCCCCAGCATTAAATTTGCCGGTAACCATTTATACGTCTGGGTAGAAAGAGACACTGTGAAAGTAAAGTGTCTTGCCCAAGTTGAAGAACACAACACAATGTCCCCAGCCAGGACTCAAACCTGGACTACTCAATCCAGAGGTGAGCACACAAACCATGAGGCCACTGCACCATACAATGTACATACCATTAATAAAAAGCTGATTGTGCCTCTGAATTATAACCAGAACTACAAAGTACTTACTGAGAGTGGAGTTTTGGAACATGGACTCGGAGAGCATCTCAAAGCGCTTGAGTAGTACCATGGTACGAGTGTAAACTAACTCATGTCTTAGCACGTGATTGTAGTACAGAACATATCTCCGCTGACTGGGAATTGTAACACCTTTAGCATTTCTTGTTCTTGCATCTCCGTAATACTTCAATGCATCCTTACTCTCCTTAAAGTGATGATTATGAAGTAGATAGGCGCAAATCATTACTCCTGTTCTTCCCTATGGAAGTTAAATAAAAACAATAAATGGTATTTTGTGATATCTATGCAGAGTTTGCGTAACACACAAATCATACATATATATGCAAAAACAATCTTACTCCAGAGGCCTTAACTTTAATCCAAGAAAAGGAAAGATTGATTAGAGAAGCTTGTTAATAAGCTTCACTAAGCGCATGATGGATTCAACATGGTAGACAAATTAGATCAGTACCAGACTTCCTCTCTCTATCATGTGAGAATTTTACAATGTAGTTCTAAGCCTTCAGATAAAAAATGGCACCAAAAAGGACTTATTTTGTCAGACAGTTAATTTATGAGGATGCTTGAAAATTGTACAGGACCCCTAAAATTTTGAAGCCACAGGGCCCAGGATGCTTGTTTTCCAAAACTTAGTACGAGCACTGGATATATTTGGGATACTACAAAGTGTATTTCAAGAAAACTACTGGCAAGAAAATAGCCTGGTCTTTTGAGATCCTCAGATGCCTCTTCACAGCTGAAAATCTGTTTACTTAGGGTAAAAGGAGACCTGAATCAATATAACCTGTGCAATGATAGACTAGCTGTGCACGTACGGTATTTTTACCTTGCCAGCTTTACAGTGGATAAAAGCTACATTCTTCTCATCTTCACTCAGAAATTTATCCACATCATCACAGAAGGGCTCGATCAGCTCAAATGGAGGTGCATTGTGGTCATCAAAAGGATATGTAGCAACTGAGCAAAATGGACAAAAGTACCAGTAAATGTAGGGCTCCAAAAGAAAAACTTGAATTTCAGCTTGCCCTTAGGACAAGTACAGTGTATCTCTCAAACATTGTTTGCCCTGGGCCAGTCTAAGTTTGCTCTTTCAATGATTAAGTTGGCAGACAACTTGCCTGATCCCTTGACAATCGGGCAAGTTAGAAAAGGGACTTGCCCAGAAGGAGAATCTACTTGTCCTA